GTTTCAAAATTTAATTTTTAAGGCACTAAAACGCTTTGTTTAGGAGTTATTTAACGATTTAGCTGAGTGCTGCGGGTTGCATTTAACATGACTATTTAGATGCGTTTTTTAAAACAAATACTTTATATTTTTAAAGTCAAAGTGCAATTCGTCACGTGAAATTCTCTTTCTTAAGAGACTTCACTTAAAACATTGGTTGCGCGTGAGAACTGCCAACGGTCTGTATACTATTGAAATAATACAGGAGACGGTAATGAAAGTTAAGTTTCTCGACCGAAGAACTCGTATTGTGTGATCAGTCATTAAATCTGGTAATGCGGTAATGTTGAAGTCTGATACCAGTTCCATATGGTCTGTTAGGGTAAAATCTATTTCATTCCTAGTATTCCATCTGCGGAATGCCACGTCCATTTTTTAATTGTTGGCTTGTAAAACTAAGTATTAACTATTTTCAAGTTCTGACCCGCTAAAAATTGGATTAATCTCCGTCCTCTGTCGTTATGGTTTCCAAGGGTGAAACTCCCCAGTGTAGTCTCTTCTGCGTATTCCTTCTTTCCAATTTTTGCATTAAATCCCTGATGATAAAATTCATTGACGATCTGTGCTTGTTTAGAGTCATCCAAGATATCGTAAAAGGATTCAATTTCTTCTTCCGAGTTGAGTGTTGTAAGTGCGTGTACTTGAAATACTATTATTTTGTTCTTCCTTGCTTTTAGTTTTAATATTGCAATCCTCTCTGTTATATCCTCAGTAATTTCTATTTGCTTCTTGAGTTCTTCTGTACGCTAGAATACTAAATAAAAGATTAAAATGTATCTCGGAAATTCTTATCGGTGAAGAACAGAATGGTTTTAGAAAAGGGAGATCGACTACATTCAACATATTTATACTGCAACAAATAATAGAAAAATGAATGGAGTTCAACCAACAGACACACATAGCTTTCATAGATTTTGTAAAAGCCTTCGATAACGTAAATAGAGTGAAACTCTGGTCTATAATGAAAATTAATTTATATCCTCAAAAGTTAGTAGAATCAATAAAGAGCTTGTATAAAGATTCTACTATAGTTATAAAAGTAGGAACAAATGAAACTGATAAAATATTGATAAACAGAGGAGTACTGCAAGGCTGCACAGTATTACCGATACTTTTTAATATTTATATCGATGATATTATCCAAAATTGAAAGAAAATAATTTACAGAGGGATTAGGATATCAAAAGAAAATATTTTAAATATATTACTCTACGCAGACGATGCTTTGATATTCCAGGAAACAGAAGATGATTTACAATATGCATTATTCCACTTAAATCATTTATGTAAAAATACGATGTTGAAATATCGAAAGAAAAAACTAAGGTGATGGCATTTTAGGGAAAACATTTAATAAGATCAACAATTATTTTGGACAAAAAAAATCTTAGAGCAGATTTCCAATTTCAATTACTTAGGTTATCAAGTCGATCAAGATACCAATAAAGATATCAACATTAAATTGGCAAAGTTTCAAAGGATTTGTGGTACTATACATAACTCACTAAAAAACAAGACACAAGTTTTATAAGACCATGGCTCTTCCAACTCTTCTATACGGAAGCGAAAGCTGGGTACCAACAAAAACCATTTTAAGCAGAATCCAGTCCGCCGAAATGAAGTTTTTGAGGAGAACGCTAGGCTGCACGAAAGAAAATCATATTCGTAATGAGAAGATAAGAGAAAAATTAAATTCTGAAGGAATTGGTAGCAAAATAAATAAATATCGAGATAATTGGTATCAACACACGCAAAGGATGGATGACTCAAGACTACTTAAATTAGCTTTACTCTACCCACCGCTTGGAAGGAGAGATGTGGAAAGACCCAAAAAACGATGGAAGGAAAATTTGTGAAAACGGAACGGGCTCAAGCCTAATCCATAAAGTGCAGAAGAAGACAAAAAATAAAAAATAATAATATGAAGATAAATGAAGATGAATGAATCAATTTATTGTAATGTTTGTTGTCGTCATGCACTGTTCATTGTTTATACTCTAGCCTTGATGAAGAAATCAAATATTTGTAAATGTTGGCGCAACTAATTGTTTCTCTGTACTCAATGACCAATTTCGTGAACCAATTTTATTTTTATCATTTTTATTGTTCAATTAAAGAATCTATTTGCTTAGAAACATATTATATACAATATTTAAATTTTCATATTTGTCAAAAATTTTCCGCCCTCGGCCTGTGCGGTTGTACTTCACCGCTAGTTTTGTCTGCAGCGCAGCGCCCTGGCGATGAGGGCGGAGGGCGCGTCGCCGTCGCTGCAGCTGGCCGCCCTGCGGGGCGACGCGCGGGCGCTGAGGCGCTGGCGCCCTCGGCCTCGCCCTCGCCCGCGGCCCCGCCCGCGCGCGCGCCCCGGTGGCCTCGCCCGCCCCCTCGAGGCGGACGCCGCCGACGGCGACGACTGGCCCTGGGACGTCCCCGGCGACACGCCCCTTCACTGCGCCGCTCGGGCCGGTCAGTGCGTTTTCTTCCTATGCAGAGTGAATGCTACGAACATCTGGAGCAAGTAGATCACTTTTCCCAAAGAGCATGTCGTGGGAAAATTCGTATAAATACCACATATATAAATGTGTCCCTAATTAGTAGGCAACGTATTATCCACTGGTGTTTCGCAGGTGACATTCTGACGTAAAACCCACCGAGTACCAGTTAATTGTGGGTTGCCAGTTAATCGGGAAATAATGATACGCGTATAACTTCATTATATGAAGTTTCCTACCCCATCTTCACTGGCAAAATGTGATCGTTGCCGATCTCCTAGAAGTGCCCGAGAAGTCGTCTAGATATGTACTGAAAGGTTGTAACATTCATTATGTGACACACTGTGCTTGAATATGTTTCAATGTAGTGTGCTCCAGGCCTACACTATCCCCCGGGAAGCAAATAAACGTAACCTCCTTCTCGTGATAAATTAATTTTAAGGAGTAAACAGTATAATTAAACGTGTGACCTTGATGTACTGAATAAACCCATGCCCCTTCATGTATAAAACTTTCAGTCATGTTTAATGGCGTTTTTAACTTTCGTTCGAGTAGTGGCGTGTTGAGTGGCCTTGTCGTGGGTTGTCATGTTGGGGCTTAGTATGGTGAGAGGAAAATGGGAGTGTTCTGGGCAGCAGGAATCAAACATACATACATACATACTGAACGTCAAAACAGGAAAAAATGACTGATATGGATGCAAAAGTAAACGTAAATCACACTTCCATTTTTACTCTCAAAATCATTGGCGTAGGATCAATGGATACGAGTGATGGGTCGCATCCCCCAATTTTTCGGCCTCTTTAAAACTTTTGTTAAAAGTGTTTTTCTACTCCTTTAGAATATATCTCTGTTTCATTTGAACCTTTTGTTTTTTTCCGCATGCGCTTTCCGGTAGGCGTCTGTGACCGTGGATGTGACAGGCCATAAACATCCCTTCGACAGATCCGCTTCGTTTCCGAGGTCATTGAACTCTCACCCAGTGCTGAGTGGAAGATGCGAGCTTTTGGCCGAAGGTGATGCGACGCTGGCTGTCGCATCTCGGTCTTCCCATTGGCGCTCTGCATCCCCCTCCCAAAGCTTCGCCATCTCTTACTTTGAATAGGACTGGGAACCCCAGAGGTCACGTGCTAACGACTGGGACTCCTAGCTGCTTGGAGGGGCATCTTGACCACACTACACACGCATGCGTACTCGTGTTTCTCAAGTATGCTAGATGACGGCAAATCAACTTCTAAATAAACAATTACGTGTATTGCTCATACTTTAATGTAGTTTTTGTATATTTTCTTATTACCTTCAGAGCAAGAAAAACAATATTAGCAATTCTCAAAGATTTTCAAAGACAGTGCAGTAGGTATGTAGTACATCGTAATACGGAATATATAAACATATATGTACTGTGATGTCGATTAGATACGTTAATTCGTCTACCTTGATTAATCTGTAAAACTGTGATCGCATCCCCTAAACTGAGCAGGAAACGCCTCTGCTTAAAATGTCTTTTTTCTCAGTAAAGACAGGATTGGAGTGCAACTTAGGTGTTTACCAGCTGTTAACCCAGATATACTTATGTAATCAACTGGATATTGAAGGAGAATAATTTGAGACAGTCATTATTACGATATCGGGAAACCATTGTCATGCGCGGATATAACAAAATCACAATAAGGTTGATTACAATATTTAGAGGTGTAACTCCCTTGCAAGATTGATCTCGAAGCCTAAACACCTATAAACAACCATTTTCCGAATCTGTGCCTATTATATCGATAACGCAAGACGGGCCATAGAGGCCACGTCTCTCGCTTCCAAACTTTTTGTTGTTGTAGTTTTACTCATTTTTTTCAAAACAATCCCTCCCCCAACACATCTGAATACCTCTCTTGATCTGGTGTTGATCCCGAGGCTGATTTAAATTTCGTAAAATTTAAATGAAATATTTACACTTTCAAATTGCAGTTCTCAATTTGATAGCTGTGCGCCTTGTCCTAGCTGGCCGTCCCTCGAGAAATATGAGTATAAGGCTGCGGGCACACGAGCGACGTTACAATGTCTGTATTTCCACGGACGTAAGTACTTAGGCACAGAAACAGCACAACGGACGTCGCACGACCAGCTTGTGTGGCTCCGTTATATGGAGGAGTTAGTCAAAGAAGGGACCACATTGAAGGAATGAACTTCATGCCGGGCGACGACAAAGCAAGGAATAGTGAATTTACAAATGAGCTGAATGTAAACGAATGTTCTGACAAAATGAGTGGATGGACATAACCTGCAGTTATGTTGGTAACAGTGGCCGAGGAGTAGCGGTCAAAGCCAGTCCCTTCTTATAGTAATCTCTCTACATCTGTAAACGTTGCACCGAGAGCATTTTATGGCCCGTTAAAGAGCGCTCGGGAGTCTCCGGACAAAAAATCTGCGAGCAATGTTGGTAGTGAAGTGGTGGCGTGGGTGGTCGGTGCGCAGGGGACACGGCGACGGTGGAGGCGCTGCTGGCGGAGGGCGCCAGCGCCACGGCTCCCAACCGGCGGCGCGAGAAGCCGCTGGAGGCGGCGGCGGCGGGCGGCCACGTGGGCAGCATGCGCGCGCTGCTGCGGTGCGGCGCCGCGCGGGACGCCGCCGGGGTGCTGCGCGCGCTGTGGGCGGCGCGCGGCGCCGACGAGGTCAGACTTCCCGATACACCCTCCTCACCTGGCTTAATGTGCGGGTCATGATGGGCGGGGGGAGTCCAAGTTTAAATTACATTTTGTTTACTTTCTCGCTACTGCAGATGCAGTACAGAGAAATTATTGTAATGCTGCGAGAACAATGCGGCAAATTTTCGACACGAAAATTCTTATTGTCGGGCCCTGGTAATGAAAAGGTGGATAATCTTGTCCCTATTTCCAGTGCGATCGTTTTATGAATGTGCTCGTCGCGCAGAGATTTGGCATCGGCGAATTTGGCCACGGATACCGGAGAAATCGAGTCAGGGCGGTCGGAAGGAGCGCCGAAAGAAAAATAATAGTAGATGTTGGAACTGCTCAATGCGGCTCTGATACATTCTTGACAGCTAAATAACATCTGGTTCACTCAATAAAGGATATCCTGTGGCATTGCAGAGATCTGTTACTGTATATTGTGCCGTAATTCTTCTTTCGTGTGGGAATTTTTGTGGCATACATGTGATCTTTCAGGAATCACCAAAGAAAGAAATCTCAAGGAGTCAGATTAGGAGACCGTGAAAGCTACGTGTGGTCTCCATAAAGGTCTTGTAAACTCTTAAGAAAACTGTAGCAGTGTGGGCGGTTGCGGAGTTCTGTTGAGGAGGCCATTGCCCCTCCCAAAAGGTCTAGACTTTTCTCTCTTAATATTTTATTTTATTTGGCAAAATTATTTAAGTATTTATCATTGTTGGAATTATGTAATTAAAAAAATATTATGTAGAATTATGTATACCCTTAAAATTTATATACAATATAATGACAAATGTTTATTATGATGGACCCCTCGAAAATGATCGGCTGGATCCACCCTTGGATGATCGTAAATACTCTCTTTATTTGTCTACATTTGGAAGAAAGGCTTCAGGATATGATACACATTACAGTTTGGCACATTTACTAGGTACACAGTAGTGTACACACTTTCTGTTTGAGAGTGAACTTGGAGCGAAACATCACAAAACAAGACTGGAAACCTTGCTTTAAAAATTTATTTATTTAACAAAAAATCTAGTATGGTCCCCTCTAAAATGATCCGCTGGATCCGTCGGTGAATGATATGACCACGTAATGAAAATGAATAGTGACAGAATACCAAAAATTGTCTTTGACTAGAACCCTTTCGAAAGAAGAAAACGAGGGAGGCCAAGGAAATCTTGGAAGTTCGTCATCGAGTCGACAATGAAGAGCAGAAGAATAGAGGTAGATGCCTGGTCTGATGAAATTAAAAAATAAACAAAAAACTTTGACGTGTAGAGAGCGAGAAACGGTCATAAGAACCGTAAAATACTCACTTAATAATAATAATAATAATAATAGAAATACTAATATTATACGATTTGTAATATGAAGTTAATTTATTACATCCTTGTTGTAAATCCATGCCGCCTCAAACGAAGCTAAGGAAAATACAACTTTAAAGTAGTATGTTCGTTAGAGCGATCACGCGGGAAGTACCCCAAAAATACTTAAAATGAAAGTGAAATCTCTGTTTTTCAAGATTGGAAGAAACAATTTGCCACTTATCGGCCTAATTCTGAATAAAAGAAATTTAAATTAGTACAGACTCTCATGGAAAGATTTTCGTGGACATAGGTTTCTTCGGCCAGAACGATTGGGGAATATCAATTTTGGACAAAATCGGCTGAACGATTTAAGCGCTACCGTTATGCATAGACCGACGGATCGACCGACTGACACACATGTTTTGCGATCAATCGATTTTTCGGTATGAATGTCGCCCAAAACATGGATTCTAGCTACACGACATGTTAGAGGATTTTTTTTCTATATTGAGCAACTGAATTTAAACCCTTTTTGTCGTAACCATGCCCCCGCCAGAAGTAGGTATTGCAAATTCGCCGTTTTTCAGCGCACGATTACAATACTCTCTCTTCTTGCGTTGGCAAGTGCGAGAAAGTAAAATAGAAGTAGAATGTAGATGAATTTGGACAAGGGATATTATGTAGCTGGTGAGTCTTAAAGATGTGTTTCTAACAACAAAGTGGAACGTATGGTTCTGTATATTTGCAAGAAAATCTGCACTAATAAAATTGAATTCAAGGACCTGTAATTGACATCGATTTCACCAAAAGGAGTGAATCATTTTATAACGAAATATTTACAGGCTCTTCTTCAGGATTTGAGGCAGTGTTCTTGCTAAGTTTGGTAAAGATTAGTACAACACAAATGCGGAAAATAAAGAATTTAAATATTATGCTGGTAGATGCACCACGATCATTATTTTTCGCCTGTCGTTACGAGACGGGTTCATAATATATTCCGCCTGAAAAGTGAAACATGGTATTTCTCTGGGGGTAACAAAATAGCCTTCCAGCATTTTTAAGATACTTAGGAGTTGACGCGAGACTACACGTCGACACGCACTTGCGTATAGTCTGCGAAAAAGCGTCCCACATGGCCACCGCCTCAGCACGAATTATGTCTAACATTGGAGTCCAAGGCAAAGTAACCGCAGACTACTGTCTAGCACTGTTAACTCTGTACTGTTCTACGCAGCTGCCATTTGGACAGATGCTTTTGGGATCCAGTCGTACGCCCGCGGGGTGTGTAGAAGGCCTCCCTTGAGGGTGGTTTGGGCGTTTCGCACGTTGTATAACGCTGTGTATGTGTGTGTGTGTGTGGGGGGGGTGATAGTCATTACTCCAGAACATGCTCATGTTGTCCGAGAGCCATTTCTGCACTTAATGACTTGTTCGCAGGCGCTCCATCTGGCTGAAAGACGTAGTGCCTTCCGGTTGCCACAACAGTTTCTAGCACTGTCACAAAAACCTATTTAGTGACTGTTTATCCTTTAAGAAAGAAGTGCGGGGGATGTCACTCTCGTAGGACACTGACAGGAGCCAGGAATTTTGTTCTTGCCACAATAGGACTGTCCTTGGGATCATGCGATATCTATCGTTCCTTCTTTTTGACTTTTGGGTCAACAGTGAAATTGTTTTCGTAGAGAATAATCGAAAACGACCAGCTGCTTCATTCTTGACAGTGCTTAGTAACAACCAACAGCCAGCACATCTTTTAGTCTTTGCGTCTTCAGAGAGCATTTGTCTTAGCTTGATGACGTAAGACTTGTACCTGAGCTCATCGTTAACGATTCCATGGGTGATAGATATGCTCGTCTTCAAAATACCTTCTAACGTCCGAAAGAATATTCTAGGATGAACAGAAATGATTCTTGTGCCTTGTTGATGAGAACTGGAGTCTTCTCTTTAACGTGGATCTTCCGTTCTGGGGTGAAGGTGGTTTCCTCTGACCTCTCAGAAGTTGCGTAGCGAGTGGCAACATCATTAACTGTTGATTTGGGATAACAAAAGAACTTCACAAGCTCTAGTACAGTGTTTCCTGCGCGAAGACATTTCACCTTGGCAGCTAACCAATTGAACTCCCGGCACGACTTAACAAAATCGGCCATGATGAGGTTATGATTATGTTTACAAACGATCAAACTATATGTAGCGCCATATAGACGTTTCGTAAACGAAGGATAGGGCAAGGAAGAGGAAGGAAAGATCGCGCGCAGTCCTTGTTCTGTTGGTTGTTAAAGTACTGCTGGAGCATTCGCGTGGTTTGGTCAGATAACCACGGAAAACTACCGATGAGAGCAGCCGACTGCTAAAATTCTCCTCTAGACAGCGATTGATTTCGACCTTGCTATCTAGCGATGCCTCGGATGTAACGAAGTCTGTTGGAGGATTGGGAAATGCCAGTTGCCAACGAGCGTGGGTGGCGGCGTGCGAGCGCAGGTGCGCGCGCTGGTGGAGGCGTCGCCGGGAGCTGTGCGCGCCGCGCCGCCGGGCGCCGCGTGGCAGGCGGCGTGGGACGGGCGAGCAGGTGCGCTGCGGGCGCTGCTGGCCGCCGGCGCCGACGCTAATGTCGCCGACCCCCTCGGCTGGACGCCGCTCCACCGCGCCGCCTACCAGGTACTCTCCTCTCCTCGCCCGCCGCCCGTAAGCAAACTAAGCATGTGCTTAGGGACCCCACTACGTTTTTGTACAAAATTTTTTACACAAGGTAATGAAAATTCGAAAATGTTTTAATATTAATTTTTCAAATAGCAATGGTTACAGTTTATTTTTATATTTATTTTTACTACATGAACCGTAGTTTAATAAATTAAGCCCTGCCAGAATTTGGCCGTACTTAAGGCCCCTTCAGATATTAATTTGACCCTGCCACTGCCGTACAACCAAAACCCTACACCACTCAGGGAACCACAACACACAACAATCACAATCAACGAGCCTGTACATTCCTGATAGGGTTGCAAACCGTCCTCCATTTAGGAGGACAGCCCTTCATTGACGTCAGTTGTCCTCTCGTCCTCCTTTGTATTTTAAATGTCCTCCTTTTAGTAAATTGTTAATATTTCTTGTCATTTATTGAATCACATTTGCATTTGATATTGAATCACACATATTGAATCACATCTGCTACGTTCAATCGTTTATTAATTCGGAATAGAAAAGATGAACATCCTTTTTCTGGACGCTGACACGCATAAATGAAAGTGTCTCTGTCTAACGACTAAAATAAACTATAGTGGTGCTAAAACAGCACGTACTTATTTGCCTTTAGTAATAGTTATGTAATACTATGTATAACACAATTTCAGGATTCAATTAACACATCTCAGTCATCAATTTTTTTAAACTAATTAAAAATTGTACAACATTTGGTGAAACAAAGCTAAATATTTTGCAGTAAATACCTACACACATTTGACGAATATAACTGTTTTTCATACAGCTACATCATCTCCCAACATTGAGACTTAATTCACAGAAATTCTGCTGCCGATTCTCGGCGCGGAATATCATTGTTACATTCCAATCTGATATTTCCTGAAGGCCAGCAATTTGTATTTCATATATTTCAAATAGGTTTAAAACAATTTCAAAAATATTAATGTGTAAATGTATAGTAAACGGTTTAATGTAAGAAACAAAGAAATATGAAATAATATACAAATTCTAACTTAGGAAGCATCCAATTGCCTGGAATTACGTTCACGAAGCGCAGTAAATTCTGAGCTTGCTTGTGTTTCTGGGCAAATTACACGAAAAAGCTTATATTTTCAAAAAATTCAATATGGCCTTACTTGAAGATCTGTATTTGATTCATTAAGTTTCATTAATCTCATCTCATTAAGAAAAAACGTATCTTCACAATTGTAGTTGTAGGAAGACGGCGAATTTTTTTTAAATTTGTGATAAATCAGGCATTTCAACAAACATGACACCTGCACCTTTGTCTTAAGAGTTCTATACTTTAAGGTGTGAATGTAATATTAAAAAAATGTGCAGTTATTAAGAAAAAGATGTTAAAGAAAATAAAAATTACCTATATATGACACAAATTCGCCAAAAAATGGAACATGACATTAGTTTTAGATCTGTTTTTCATGAACAAAATTCATTAAGAGATCAAATTTTTATCTTCAGAATTGTAATTGTAGGAAGACTCCGAAAAAAAATTGATCTTTTTATTCAATTTCGAAAAGTAAGGGTTTTTAACGAACATGAGACCTACGCCATTCTCTTAAACGTCCTTCACACTATCCAATAACAAAGTTTAATCAAAAAAATTGGATTTTTTGAAAATTTTGGAAATGTTCCCGGAGCGTCATGTAAAGTAACCAGCCCACCGCCCAAAAAATATTAGTTTCAAATTCAAGGGGCTAGGGCTTCATCTAACCAGAGGGTCAGCGAAATTTCAATTTTGGAGAAAATGGGCTGAACGGTTTAGCCGCAAGCATTGTTCACAGACGGACAGACATATGTTTTGCTGTCAATCGACTTTTCGGTATCAAGAAACCACAAAACATGGATGCACCATGTGTTAGAGAATGTTTTTTCTAAATTTAGTCACTGAATGTATCCACATATTCATTACCAGGACCCTGTAAGAAGAGTTTTTTCTGCTGAAAATTCGCCGTTTTTTCGCGCACCGTTACATAACTCTACCGCCGTACCGCGGTAGCGGTACCCTGTTAGCGAGAAAGTAAAAAGAGACGCTCATACTATCTTTATCTTCATTTTGTGAACGAATCTTTTCACTTGAATCGTAATCGGAGAGAAGAATGGAATCGGACTGTTAGTCTAAATTAGTTATATATAAAAAGAAATGTGTTGATGCTTTTTAAATGTATTTATTTAATTTTACTTATCGAGTGTGTTCCCTTTTACATGAACATTGTTGGTAAACCTAGTTCCTGACCTCCGCTCGCCTCAACCCGAAGTACTAAATTCATTATATTAGGAATATTAAATCACAGCTGACTACCCTTAAGCCATGATGCATAAAACCTAGTATGTTGAGTTGACACATTGTGTTGTAGAGATTCATGCTTAATCTAAAACTATTACGCAATCAAACTGAGTACTATCGTGAACATCTATCCCGAGTTTAAATCTGTTAGTTTTCTTTGTTTCAGTTTTGTACTCAGTGCTTTCATTATTGCTTTATTAAGCAATTCGTTTTCGAGAAAGTACTATTTGGATAATTCTATTTGTTTTATTTTTAAATTGTTCCTCTAATCGTATAGCGAGAATAAGCTTGTACCTGGCGGGAATCTTTTTAAGGGAAGAAATATGAGTTATAAATATGAAAAAGTATTCTGATTAAAATTCTTGCCAAATCGGATGAGAGGGTTTAAGATTATCTTCTGTTCATCTTCTCATTTTTTCTGATCATCTTCTTATTTTTGCAGCATGATGACAATGTCATCGCTCAGAGAATGCGAGTGTATTATTTGGCCTACGAAGCCTGATACAATGTCCCAAGTGTTCTCTGTCACAAAATGTCTCAATCTCGACATAGCAGAAAGGATTGTTTATTGACAGGTTAATCAGAAGTGTCAGCTGTTGAGAAACAATTGTTTTACACGTCTTGTCACTTACGTATTACAATGACATTAAATATCAAATAATTGTGATCGCATAATGCTCTATCATGTCTATCATGAGAAAAATTATTCAAGTATCATGCATTCTCATTTTATGATGTGTATCAATAAAGATCTTGGAAAAGAGTTTAAAGACCTGCTATCTTCACTTCTGATAATGTTTTTAAGTATTATGGTAAAGTGCATGTTCAAGAGGGAAATTGTGACCAAATAATAAAATTAATTGAAGAAAAGGTGTTGTCAAGTATCAATATGTTTTTAATCTTTAGATCCTTTTGATCACGTAGCGATTATCATCTGACATTTCTTGCAGAGTCTGGGCGGAAAACAAAATTCTGTGACTAAATAAAATAGAGATGTTATCAATAAAAGGAATATGTCAAGAGCTTCCACGTCCATGCCAAGTTGGGGTATAAAATAACGTGAAATAACTGCTTTCATCTGAGAAATATTTCCCTGCATTGCTAGATAGATCTCCCAAAGGGACGCGCAAAACGAACTTAAGTGACTAGTCTGGCAGTGTCTAGATGGAATGTTGGCTAAATGCATGTGTTTTAAATACTTATGAGATGTGGACTCATTAGGTCATTCTACCAACTCAAGTAAATACAGGGTCAGTTTTTCACTTAGCGATGAGAAAATATATGTAAGAAACATAAAGTAAAAGTTGAATTTTTTCTCATCTTTAACAAAAAATAACCAAGGTTTATAAAATTTTGAAACTTCCAAACAGATATAACAAGTATTCTGTATTTTTACATGTGCTAGCTGTCTCCCACTTCCTACCACATCTAGCCACCTCCCCGACCATATAAGTTCGAAAACGATGCAATTACTTAAAGAGTACCCCCGAATGAGATGGTAAAAAAGTTGCCTAAAACCAAATGACATATGAGTCGTTCCATCCCATTAACCCTCCATATATATAATTCCAGTGTCACGATGTTTGTCCGGGATGAACTCCGAAACTGCTGAACCGATTTTAATGTGTTTTTTTTAAATGTGTGCTTTTCTCCAACTTAAGAGATAGGATAGTTTATTTCTCGAATTTGCGATTGCAATTTTATTTATTGCGAAAAAAATTTTTTTTTATCCAACAAAGAGACAGTTCGGTAAGATTCTAACAGATGACGGTATAAGGTAGACAGTTGGCTCAATTGAGTGAGTATCCAACAGATGGCACAATGTTAAAAGTACTATCACTTTAATTAATAACCTACAATTCATTAATATAACCGACCACGTGTTGCTTAATCCAAAGTATAAGAAAAATTTTCATTAAAGTACATGAAATTCGTTGAAATTATTACTTTTAAAAAATGGTGCTTTATTGTTTATAACTTTCTTATCAAAATAAATATATGTAACTATTATCATATCACATATTTATATTATTATACTGTACTAGCTGATCCAGCATACGTTGTTTTGACATATAAATTATTTCTAGCAGTTTTTTATTATACTTCATTTAATAATTGTTCTTTATCAAAGTAACAAACATATTTTAAATTAGTTTCTATTACTAATTATGGCAATTGAAAAATAATTGAATATCAGTCTTTCAGTACAAAACCATTATTATAATTTATATTCAAAAAAGTTAATGCATGATAAAACTTAGTGTATAATATTAAACGATCGCTTGCATTTGTATTTTAAAGTGAATGTTTTTTTGACATTGACAATTATATACCGATTTTATTTTAATTGTATTGTATTATTTTAATTATCATTTTCAGTGATATGCTTCCAAAAGAATATAACCTCAATAATGCCAGTAGCCGTGAGGTACGACGTAAACGTACTGAGAGAGCCTTCATGTGAACAAATCAAACCATTACAGCAAACGCCACTGAAAGGCATAGAGCAGCAGAAAGCCGTATGCGAGAGGTAAGCGAACATCGTGATGAGCGTCTGCGGCTACAAAGAGAGCAAGGTCAAGAGCGGCGCGTGAACAACATTTATCCAGATATGGTGTACAGGATCAAGAGAGACAGCAAACCAGTCGCGCAT